AGACGGTGATCGGTGGTAGCCGAGGTCTTTGTACTAGGAGGAACCGTGTAAAGAGCTCTCCACGATGTCTTGGCGCAACCGACAGGAGAGAAAGAGGTCGATGTTGGGGTTGCGCAGACGGACGATGGAGCGCAAAAACAAAGGCGTTCGGAATGGTGAACCGCGATGGCAAAGTTGGTGATATGATTAAGACTGGGACGGCAATGCACATGCAAGTCTTCAGGTTTGTCCTGGGCTCTGGATGGTCCAGTCAAGATCCAATGGCAAGAAAGCTGGTGACGGCGCGGGGCGATTCTGGATTTAATCTTGAGCCCGCCCCTCACTGTGCCTGCATGCCACTGCTACATGGGGGGCAAAAGAGGAGAGAGTGGGGGTGGGTCTTTTGGCTGGTGCGCTGTTAGCGTCGTATCACTAGCATACGAGTATACGCTGCGGATAGTGGCACCTTGATGGCCGCCAACAACGTCGAAAAGTACGGTATGGAAATAGACCATGGCGCCAGCAAGGACCCAAAACATGATACAGCAAGGGACCAAGGCAGTTCGTCGGAAAGACGTCACATTTGAACGATTAAATGGAACCAAAAGTCCCGGCACCGGGATCTTTAAAGCTCCGATGAAAGTATGGCAGCATATCCGTAGATAATTTCTTATCACCCAGCCCAGGTCTCGAATCAAAAAGCTTGCCTCAACCTCCCTTCTCTGGCTACCTTCATGTTGCCCTTGTGGCAGATTCACCAAGCCCGTACACGTACCCCTGGTTTATCTCTCTGAGGATGAACGGATGAGAACTTGAAGAAGGCAAGATTTTAATGCTTCCAATGACATTACAGCTTGTATCATCATCATTGACATCTTGGCCCCCTAAGGACGATCAACCGCTGTCTATTCTTTAATCAGAAAAGAATAGAAAGGGCGCTCCAAGTTCATCGGAGTGTGCATATATTCCGTCGCTTTGATTTTGCAGAACTCCAAGGTGTGTTTCAAAATACTCAATGCCTTGAAAAGAAATCAAAGAGACTTTTGAGTTCCTTGTAGAGGTCAAGCAGAGAGATTCATTCCTAGAGAGAACACCAGTGTACCTATCAGGGGCCACAATACGTCTATATATACTAGAACTTAGGGCCTCTTCTAGTCTCGTAAATGCCCTCTCTTGGACAAGTATACGCTATTAAAGGGATTACTGATATGTCTGCTCGTGGGACGCACCATGCCTGTCAGGCGACGCCATCACACCTTTATCAGCAGGAGAAAGGAGGTAAAGAAATGGCGGCTCATGAAATACGTACGACGAACAAGACGATTCTGATCCTGAAACTAGCAAGGGGGTGGCTAACCTAACGGAGATCGGGTTACATTTCCTGAATCGCTGTTCACCGAAGTCTCTCTTCTCGAATGTCTGATCTATGTGATGAAGTTGCGCCCTAACTTCTACTTCAACAGAATGCTATGATTTCAAGGTGAAACCAGATCCCCTTTGTCCCCAACATCCTGGGTTCCACGGTAATTCACGGCCCCTTTTGTGATTTTCAATTTCGGCAACCAAGCAGTACAGCCTCATGGTTTGTCAGGCCACAACTCTCTCCCCTTTGAACTTGAGTATTGGTGCGAGCGCTACAAATATTTTCCTTCTTCTTTCTTGTCCCCCATGACGAATAATCGGAAGCCAGAGCCTGCCTTGATATCATTGGCCGGCAAGTGCTGCAGGCCGCAACGAGGAAAGAACGACGATGCGCAACCATCCAGCCCCACAGCGCAAGAATTGCGCAATGAGCAATTCCCGGGTCTTTTATAGTCTTGCCTTCGAGGACAAAAACACTCACCCGGACAAGAACTGGTTTGTTATTGTCGGAACATCCTACAACACACCATTTTCTCTTTCCTGCAAAGTTCGTGGTACGTATTCTTCCTCCCCTCAGTGTCTGACCTTCCGCCGCGAGCCTGAAAAGGTGTACGCCTAAGGCGGAACAAAATGGACACGCAATTTTGCTACAAGCCATTGGATGATGCCGGAAACAGCATTCGGCTGCTCAGAATTCTCTCGCCAACGGACGGTTCTGATACAATATACTGCAGCCTCTTGACCGCCCGCCTGGACAAGAAACCCTCCTACGAAGCGCTGTCCTATGTTTGGGGGAGCGAACGCAGTTCCACCCCTATTCAATGCGACGGCAGAGATCGCTATATTAGTAGAAACCTGTACCAGGCGCTCCTTTCCCTCCAGCGACTTAAAGATTCAGCCGACAGATTATTCTGGATCGATGCTATTTGCATAAACCAGGACGACATCGCAGAGAGAAGTTCCCAGGTAGGGCTGATGTCCCACATCTACAAGGCAGCAAGAAATGTGATTGTCTGGCCCGGAGAGTCCGCATCTGACGGTCACCAGTATGGTAACTTGAAATCAGTCAACGGCTCCATGGTCGACCTAGGGCTCGACGACAACCAGCGCCACGGGAGATCCCTTCGTGGCAGTGTCCTGAAGTATCTCAAGGCACCTATTTTCCGCCGAGCGTGGGTCTTCCAAGAAATTCTCTGTTCAAGGAATACATCTCTGCTGCTAGAAGACGGGGAAACGGAGTGGGAGACGTTCTGGGGGCGTGCTGCCATCGAGACTATCACTTCGATCGTCATCAGCGGCGACCGTGCCCTCCCACCCGCCAGCATGGCAGCATTCCAGTTCTACACCGCCACTTCCTCTATCAAGTTTATCACGTCCTCGAGCGAGGCCTTACTCCGTGTTCCACCATACGACGGCAGTTACGAGAAGGCCAGAGAATCTCTCTCGGGTAACGCGCTCGCGAGCCAGTGGGCCTGGGCCAAGACGCTCGATTTCACTGCAACGCTTAACACTAACGACCCCAGAGATCGAGTCTTTGCATTGGTAGGGCTCGCTGACGCTCTTGGTATTATTGTGCCCAAACCGGACTACTCAAAGCCAACGCGAGTTGTCTTCCAGGATGCGTTGAGCATGCTGAGAACGAGGCCCGAGAACAGCCCTTCTCCGCATCAACTTGCAGCTGCAACAGCCTTGCAGCACCCGAGCCGAGGCCTGCCTTTCCTTGTTCGGCCCCGGAGCGACGACTTCAAGAAATATCTATTGGGCAACTGGCAATTCCCATCAGAGAATTCCCCTAGTCCTCAAACAGGAGGGACAAAATCCGGCGAGGGGCCCGAACTGAGCTACCATGCGTTCTTTGATCAGATTCTCCAGCATCACAAGAGGCTTCTCTGCATTAGCGTTTCTCAGCATCTTGCAGGGGAAGTGCCAAATGCCCCGCTCACATGCCCGGGCGGCGCTGATTCGACCAGAACGACAGAAGACCAGCAGGGACCTGGTCTGCAGTTGGCAACGGTATCCGATCGCACCAGGGTTGCGAACGCAAGATCTATTGCCAAACGAAAGCGACGGGGTCGGCCTAGCAGACTGGGAGAGGACGACGATGAGGACGACGAAGAAGATGGCGACGAACGGCAAATTAAGAAACAGACATTAGATCCCTGGAACAGACTGGCTTGTCCCTATTTTCAGCGGAATATGGAATGCCCTAGACTCAGAACTGCTTGTCGGGGACCTGGATTTGAGACGACAGCGCGTTTGAAGTGAGAAAGATCCCACCAGCGCTTGTCAAACATGATGATGCTAACAAGATCACACCATTTCAGGGAACACCTCTACCGTGCTCACCATATTCACCCATGCCTGAGGTGCGGGAAGATCTTCGAGAGCCGCGAAGCCGTCAGTCAGCATTCACAGTTGATTCAGGCATGCAACCTTGTGCCGTGGAGAGAGTCGTTCAATCCCTCCCAAGGGTTTGAAGACCTCCAAAAGGAGAAGCTCGGGAAGAAGACTGTTCGCACCTGGCAGCAGATCTTCAGCATCCTATTCCCTCGCGATGACCCGAACACCTACCCCCCACAGCGTAAGTTACTGATTAGGAAGGTGAGCTCTTCAGCGTAACTAACAATAGTCGTTAGATTATTCCAACACGGGCTTTGTTCAACTCCTAGACCAATTCCACCAGCACTACCTCGCCGAAAGCCGGAGGGTTCTCCCGCAACGTCTCGCCAACGATTCTTCCACCATTCACGGACTTCATCAGGGACAGCCAGGTCAATTGGAGGCGTACGTGCTTCAGCTGGCCAATGACATTTTTGCTCAAATCATTGGCACCTTTCGTGCAGAACTCATCCGTACGCCTCCCCCCGGCCGTGACGTCCTTGAGCTCGCCCCCCATACAGCAGACCATGCTCTTCGGCTCATAGAAGCAGCTCTGCCACATGGAGAAGAGCCAATGCTACCACCCAGCCTACAACCTATGCTGCAGTCCGCGCCGCCATCCAGTCGCGTCGGCGCAATCCCAGATCCGGTTGTGGCTTTTGAGCAATACCTAACCCGCTTTGCGCCGGCAGGGACCTTTGATGATCTCCCCGATCTTTTCGAGGGCGCGCATGATGTAGCCCATGGGCGCCAGGAATATGACTGGGAGTGGGAAGATCTTGGTCCGGGATCTGGCTAGGAAGGGAATCAATCTCCTCAATCGGGGATGATCGGTTGGTGCTGAGCTGGGAGTCTGGGACTTTGTGGTAGCCGTGTCCGGTCAATTCAAATGAATATCTCTGCTTTCCTATTAACCCTCGGCTTTTATTGACCAATTTCCACTACCAGTGATCGTAACTGTGACCTCGCTGCTCCAGCTATTCGGACAATGACCACAATTACTCTCAGACCCTTAGACCAGTGTTGTACCAGCCGGCGTTCAATGTAGCCGCCCCCTTACCGACTGGCTGCAGCCAATCAGAGGCGGCTATGAACTAGGCTGTACACTTACCTGAGTTAAGTGGATAAATGATTAGAGTGCCGCTTCTAATGAAATTCGCGATTTTTGGAACAAAGTTTTGAGTATCTCGGTGAGGGAAAATAAGCCTGAGGCCCTGAGGTGGAGATGTTGCTATTCAATAATAAGAAAGAACTCTAAAGCTGAACAGGTAACAAACAAGGCCTTCGTGGCGCAATGGTTAGCGCGTCAGACTTTTACGGATGTCTTTCTGATGAAATCTGAATGTTGCGAGTTCGAGTCTCGCCGAGGGCGTTTATTTTTCTTTTTGCTCTTTCCACTAACTATTACTATTAGATAAAGTTCTTTTAAAGCGGTGAGTAATAAGTAATCAAAACATAGCAAGCTTTATCTAACCTTTTACACTACTAGCGTTGCATTCTCGGCCGCAGTCCAGCGGACACACGAAATATAACGCGATATCGTAAGGCTAGCTAGGCCTTGCTAGCTTTGAAATTTAAAATCCTCTATACCGAAGTGCTTCAAGGACTAAAAGCTAAAGCGGCAACTCACTGACTTATGGATATCTTAAAGATGAGGCTGGCGTGTGGCCTGAAACTTTGATGGTCTTGCTTCACGACGAAAATACAGGGTCCAGGAACAAGCCTGTATAGGGGGCCGCGATTAGAGGTCGAGATCTCGGGGCTGAATATTATGCTTCTTGTATTCCCCGGCATCTTCGGTTCAGCGGTAAGGCTTATAGGCCCATTTTGTCGATTTCGATTTCAATTTGTCTGATTGTCAGGCCGCCAACTTTAGCTTGGGACAGTTATACAAGGAACCTCAAGCTGAGCAAAAGGATTTACTTTCCTCACATGCAAATTGCGTCATGTTCCGTGGTGTGAAAGAAGAGGCAAGCTGATTCAAGCTGGCCAAACGCGGACCTGCGGCGGCGGCCCATAGACTCGGCCGACGCTTTCCCGCCGACCGTGAGAAGCTGGTGGTCGGATATCAACATGAAGAGCTGCGCCAGACCTCTTCTGACAGTGACACCGAGTTGAGCCTCCAGGACGAGGTCAAACGCTGGGTCCTGCGAAAGAACGGGGGAGTCCTTGTAACCCGCTTTCACGCCGAGCTGCAAGTTGCCCACTTTTTCAACGCCATGTCACTCAAGTTTCAAGACAACGACCGCTACATTGGCTGCAGCAAGGGAGCATGCTGGTTCTGCTTCCACTACCTCAAGAACATACCCGTCAAGGCGCCTTTCAAGAATGACAACGCCCGCACCGTGGGATTCGTTGAACCCTCGAGCCATAACGTGGTCATTCCTGGCGTCGGTTTTCCTCCGGTCAAGTCGGACGGGTCGAGTAAGCATGTGGAGCGGATGAGGGCTAGGATGAACGACGTGGTCGTCGGCACGATTCGGGAGGTGCTTTTGGAGAATGTGCCCAAGCACCTCTGGCATCATCCCCAGTCCACCGACACATGGGTGGACCGTACCGCCAGCGTTGGGAACTCGGCACTAGAAGAATTAGAAGACCGAATCTAGCAAAACGGTAACAAAAGGAAGACAGACAAAGATGATACGTGTGTATTTGGTCTCTCGGTGGAATGCTTAATGTTCTTTCCCTCGTAGAGATGGCTAGTGTTCTACGGGTTTAGTTATCGTTTCCTCTTCTCTCTACTTTGCCTAATAATCTGGTGTTTTGTTCCCCAGCTTTTGTATATTAGTCTGTAAATTTCTCTTTGCTCAGTCTTTTCTGCGTTTTTTACTCCTTTCTTCTTTGTCAGGTTTCCTACTTTCCTTTCATTAGTGTACTAGATCCTTCAGAGGCACTCATCAATCAAAATAGCGCAAGCATTGCCTAGTCGTACGATTCACACTACCAGCGTTGCATTCTCGGCGGCGGCCGCGGCAAGGAATGTAGATTCCTCGCGGCCGCCCCTAGTCAAGAAACTAAACAACGGTAACCAATCACGCACTCTCCTCCGAGTGGGAGCAGCCTATAAGGCTCTCGATAATTCCCGCTTCCTGCATTGGGACTCCACCCGGCTTATTCGGACGTCCGAGGCGGCTCTGGGCTAGCTTTATAGCGCCTTGTCAGGTGATGTCAGCGTAGTATTAGAACAACCCCACCATGCCAGTGCCGAGCCTTGTCGCCGACAAAGCTGACGATGGATTCAATACCAAGCACATGCACACACTCTCAGCTAAGACGAGGGAACCCATGACGTGAACTTTGCATGGCAAGGACGTGTCTAGCCATGATATCTCCTGGTTTGGAAAATCCTCTTGATGTCTTCGCATCCGTCTGTAGCGTGATTAGGGGTGGGTTGATGGTGGAAGAAGATGAAGGACAATGAGGACCAAAGGCAAAGAAACAGGTATATAGGCCGTCCTTTCTATTCTTTTGACAACTTACCTCCTCTCTCTGCTTCATCACCGACCGCTCCAATCAGCCCCCCGTTCCACTCAAAAACAGCCAATCAATCAATCAAAATGGTCTCCATCAAGTCCATCGCCACCGGCCTCCTGGTCCTCGCCGCCTCAGCTGTAGTAGCTGCCCCTGCCCCCGACGGTGCCGCCGACATCAAGGCTCGACAAGATACTACCAGAGTTCGCATGTGCGAGCACCCTTACTGGGGCGGCGAGTGTATTGAACCCACTGGCACGTGGGCACAATGCCGTATGATACAGCCCCTTTCTTTCCCCGTTCAAGTTCTTCCTCTTGACTCCATCAAGATCATTTTTAACAAACCGCAATCCAATTTTGATAGAAAACGTCCCCGCAGGGTGGGACAACCGCGCCAGTTCCGTCAAGGGTCTCACAGCCAACTTCTATTTTGGGTGCAAGTGGTTCGAGTAAGTGCACGGTGACCGGTTACGGACTAACGAGCCTTGTGATGTGCAACTCATTACTGACGCGAAATGGCCCTTCTTTTAGACACTTCAACTGCGAGGGCAGAATGTACACCAATAACGAGGATGCCAACCTCTCGGACGGTGACGGATTCTTTGATGACCGTATCAGCTCGTGGAGGTGCCCTTAAATTTCAACTTGCTTTGTGGAGACAATGATGCGGATGGTTAGCACTAGATTATAAGAAAGAAACATGAAGGGCATAACCACTAACTAGTGATACAAACCAAGAAGAAAAAATAAGAAGCGTGCAAAGTATCGATGGCGTTACGATGATAATTCGTAGAGAGAGGTCAGGAACATTAAATGTGTCGTTGTCTTAAATCTTTCGGGCACATCATACCCACTTTTCCAGCCACGCCGCTCTCTTTCTCTCTCCATTCTTCTCTTGCCCCCATCCGGATCAGCATGGACACAAGCGAGCTCACGCAACCAAGCTAACCCACTATACAATCCCTCTCCCCAGCACCGCAGAGCTCGCAATAACCGCCAGGTATCCAATATCGCTATAAATGTAGGTAATCAATCACCTATCAGTCGTGAGAACATAAATGGCATTACGGTTAGAGAGCAACTAACCTCTTTGCCTTTTGTACCAGCTTAACTCCCTTCCATCTCACCCGAAGTAACCGTACATTCGCAACAACCGACAGGTATCCAGCCATGTTCAACCGAGCGAATTTCAAGTATTCAAAACGCGAGAACACAGCTGATCGGAAGACTGGTGCCAAGGCAGTTGGCAGGCGGAATCGAGTGTCCAGGGCAAGTCCAGAAGGTCAAGAGTCGGGTCCCGATCCGGTCAGGGGGCCGTTCGAGTGGTAGAGCAAGACGTCGGCTGGGGAAAATCGGGAGATCGGTAAGACTAAAGTCGAAGTGATAACGGCAACGACCATGAAAAGGTGTGAGGGCGGCCATAGCTCTAAATGACGGACGCGGTGGCTCTCACCAGCCGGAGGCGGAAACAGACAGAATGCCCCGGTCAATCTGACGGTCGGCATGGTCCAGTGGTGACGTCGATCCAATGGAGATCGACGGGGGAGAACATGGTTGATCTCCAATTGTTGGCAAGTGGATGTCGTGTCAGGCTGCGCTTGTCTTTGCAACATGGTGGAGGCTTGTCGTGTGCACCATGTTGGAGGCGTGTCGACAAGTCACGCGGTCCTCTCTTGCCAGGGATTGCGAGCTAGCTCCGCAAGCATCTGCGCTGTGCTTGCGCCGAGGTTAAACACTGGCATGTCTGCGGGATTCTGTGCGGGATTCTGTGCGGGAATCAACAGTTGTAAAGCCACCGGAATCGTCACGGGATTCGCCGCGGGATTCATCACCGGATTCGCTGCGGGATTCGCCACCGGAATCAGCTGAAGAGCCAGATTGGGTTGTGGAGCGGGAGGCCGAGGTCGGAGGCCGCAACAGTGGAAATGCCGGAATTTGTCACAGATCCATGGTCGCGTGAGGAACCCGAGGAACGACATGATCGGACCGATGATTCCACCGATAATGGCGACTAGATTCAAAAAGTCAGAAGAGACTCAGAACAATTGGTTCGACAAGTGCTGAAGTATATGGTAAACATACGTTTCTCGTTGGTGGTGAGGTCGCGGCCCGAGGAGGTTGACTCAGGCTCAGCCGGGGATGAAGATCCGGTGAGGATAAGGGTCGTGGTAGTTGTGGCCGAGAATGTTTTCCCGGCGTTGTAAATCGTGGTTATAGTCACCAGGGATGGCGTCCCGGTGTTGGTCGTGGTGGAAGAAACCGGGGATGACGGTCCGGTGGTGAGGGTCGTGATGGAAGAAACCGGGGATCGCGTCCCGGTGTCGAGAGTCGTGATGGGATTAGCCGGGGATGGCGTTCCGGCGTAGATGGTCCTGGTGGTGAGGGTGGTCGCGGGAGGGTAGTTGATGATGATGGTACCGTTAACGATTAACGATGTTACCATCGCCATTGACGACAACGGGTCCACCGGCGCCGTTGTTCCCGCTGATGGAGATACTCATCGCGTCCGTGCAAGCTAAAACCAGGACGTCTCGCGGTTAGTAACGATGCCTAGTGAAGGGAAAAGAGACGCGTCGCGGGTGGTGGAAATGGGGCCTGGGAATGGGAAATGAAGAGATACGAACAAGGTCGAGTGGTGCTAGCTATTAACTAGAAAGATAATGAACTGAAAGTGTCCATATTCTGAATAGAAGATATAAGAGAGAATAAGAAGTTGACAAGGAGAACCCAAAGAATGAGGGTTAAAAAGGCAAGTCTCCCGGTTTTGAAGATTTTAAGTCGATAGGCCTACACAGGTGCCTTCTCTCAATCTGCTTGTAATACCTCTTTCCCCCATTCACGTCTTCTTCAAAGTGCTTATGTAGGTCTTGTTCTGGCCATGACAGAGTTGTGGTCGAGGGA